CAGTACCTTGGAGCTGTTGTGTGAGCTCTAAGAGCACCTATCTTGCTGAGTTTAAGTTGGGGTAAGTTGTACCAACCTTGGTCTTGAGCGTTGTTGCTTAAAGTTGATGTCTTGGTATGTTTAATGATTAAACAAGTAACCAACTGTCATATGAACCTCAATGAACCTTAAGATGCATGTTTAAGCTTCTGGAAGTGTTAAAAATGGAACTTTGGAATGATATCTTCGCGAAATGCAGAAACTGCATTCTGTCGCGAAATATCCGGATATTTGCCGTGGAATATCCGGATATTGATATCCGGATATGGGGATCTGGATATCCGAATAGTGATATCCGGATATAGCCAGAGTGATATCCGGATATTGGATATCCGGATATGTCCCCGTGGAATATCCGGATATTCTTGGTTTGCGAGGAACAGTAGCGTACTGTTCATCCAGAACTGATCTATGGGTTTGCGGACCCTAGTTTGAGGAAGTTGAACTTCTGTAATTAATTAATGTAAGTCAGAATCATGTGATTAAGGGCTTATGGCTTGGTGAGAAGCCTTAAGACGTAAAACGTAATGAAAAGGCATTGTCTTTATGTTGTATACTTGTAGAGTATGATTGTTGATGTATTGTTGGTCCATAACAGATTGTGAATCTGCTGTGTTTGGACTTTGAGCTGTGGACTCTTGGCTTTGGGTGTTAGCTTGCAAGGTAAGCTTTCGTGTACTCGGTTTAGGCATGTTGTGGTTCCACTATGTCCCATGGGGATGTGGTTATATGCATGCTGTGTTACATGCTTTGGATATTTTGAAATGCTTTTGAGCTGATATGTGCAATGGCTTATAATATGTATGTGTTGTTTCTACTTAGTCGGTAAGCCTGAGTATGTGGCGTCATACAAGATGGTGAGTCTGTAGGTGGGTGCAAGTAGCGTCTTGCATATTGTGTGGGTAATAGACGTATTCCTGCATTTCTCTAATCAGTAGAATATTATTGACACACATGACATGATTATCTGCTGCATTGCACTGATTTAGAACTGATGATGATAAACTGCTTTTGAACTTATATTGCACATGTAAGTGAGCTTGGGGTGGAAGATCCTTGAGGACCCCTTGTCTTACTGAGATTTCTTGTTTAGAGATCTCACCGCACGTTTGGGGAATGCTTATTTCAGGTTCAGGTAGTATGGTGACTGATGCCTCTGGCGGCAGGAGGCCAGAGCTTAGCTGATTATGATATTACTGCTTATTTGCTAGCATGACTGGACTGGATGCTGTTTATGTTTTCCGCATTATTATTATGTTGGGCTTTGTTGCCTTATTTGGGTGAGCATGGGAGTTGTCCATGCCACTAGGGGTGTTAACGGGCCGAGCCGAGCCGAGCTTTGATCTCAACGGGCCAAGCCTGTATTTAAACGTGTCCGACTGGCCTTAGCTTGTTACCTGTTACGAATATAATATTGGCCTGTGGCCTGGTTTATTTACAAAAAAATAAAAGCCTGTGTGAAGCCTGTCTTAGCCTGTTAGCATGTTAAAGAATAAAAATAAAAGAACAGAATTCCACAAAAAATCAATTTCCAGATAGAAACTTTAGCTTTCAATTTGCAGAAATAATTTACAAAGTCTACAATAAATAAAAAAATTAAAGTGAGAGAAGGTAGATAACATGTTATATTATCTTAGCCCATTATAAAAAAAGTGCCAACAAAAATAAAAAATAAAATAAATAAAATAAAAATAAATTGACACAAACGAGCAGTGCACAGTGGAACAAATGAGTTTTTGTGGGTTTGTTTGTGTGAAGGAAGATGAAGGATAATATAGAACAACACTAGTAATTTCATAAATATACATAAATTCAATATATATCCAAATAGCATAATATAGAAAAAAATCATTCAAAAAGTCTGTTAAACCAATAAAATGGGGTGAAATAAATTGATGAGAGAGAGTTATTACAAGTAGTATAAAATGTATAAATAAATATTTATATACTAGGTTAGCCGGGGAGGCTCTAAGGCCGAGCTTCTGAATTAGAGCATGAGGCCCTTTTATTAAACGAGCTTTTATACAAGTCCAAGCCTGGTTCCAACACGAGCTTTTATTAAACGAGCTCAGGCTTTTATGAGCCGAGCCAAAGGCCCCTGAAAGGCCCCTGGCTCGTTTACCACCCCTACATGCCACTATATTGTTAGTACTTGTGAGTTGAGTTGTATAAACTGATAGTTGGTCCGGTCTACGTGTTGTAGTTCCGTGACTAGAGATATACTTTATGTTGTTTTATTTATTGAGGTATTTCAGTTAGCTGTTTTATTGCAATTGCATACAGGCGATATTTTATTAATTGATTAATAAGCAAGTTGATATGATAATGACATCATAATTGGAAAGAAAAATATATTCCGCAAATTTTTAATTAAGCGCAGCTTAATACGATAGTATGATAACATTATCGGATATATACGGGATGTTACACTCTGCATTCTCTTGCTCATGATTCACCCCATCACTATGTGAAATCTCCTGATCCGAATTAACCCCATGATCATGTGAAATCTCATGATCCGAATTCACCCCATCATCATTCTGTGCATGGTCCTCATTATATGTGGAATTAACCACATTATCCTCTGCACTGTCATGTTCAGGGGTTTCTTAAGCCTCACAAAAGACAACATTGAACCTTGGACAGTATTAAAGGAGGAATGACCCAACAATAGAAAGGCAATAAACTCTGGTTCATAAAAAAAAAAATTCAGCAACAGAATTCCAATTATCTAATACTTTTCTTCGTAATTAAGAGAGGCGACAAAAATAGAAGCCTTAATTAGGGAAGTGAATATAATTACACTTGCAAATAAAGAAAAGTGGATTGTTCAGGCCACATATATCATTTTTTTCTCTAAACAATCAAAGTTGTTTTTTTCTTAAGGAAAACAAGGGGAGCTGGTGCGGATTGTTGACAACACAGTCATGGGGGAGAGGATTGTGCCACAGGTTCAGAAGATATGTAAGCAATCAATATTTTCATTTTAAAGAAAGTTGAGAAAAAAGGAAAGCTATTTCATACTAAAAATTATGAAATGTTATAGGTTTTAGCGAGAACTTACATTAAAACTTACACTAAAATGTTTTTTTAGCAATAACTTACCAGAACTTTACAAATGCTTTAATCTTTTTCCATTAAACCAATCTCCATTAGCAAAAGGATCATATTAGTAACAGTAAAAAATTAGTAAAATTGAATAGAATTATTTTAGAAAATAGAACTTTGTGATTTGGGACCATGAGAGTCTCAAGACCTTTTACTTATCAATCTGAATGAATGAATCATGAAAGGTGGGTGCAGCCTAATTAATGTGAATGCTCAACTTGCAACTGTAAACCTACTCAGTACATTGCTGAGATGCTAAAACCACACACAACCCCCATTTCAAGAAAATTCTAATACCCAAACTTTGTTGATAGGGAAAAAAATATTTATTCTTTTAAAGGGTATTGTGGCATTTTATATCATAACTTTTGATTTCGGTCAATTAACAATTATTATTTATTGTGAATTACTAATTAATTAATAAAATTGATTCAATAAATTATAACTGTTGATTAACGAAAATCAACAATTAAGATTTAAAATGTCATAAAATTATATCCTTTAAAAGGACAAACATTTTTTCTTACTGATTAACACAAAACTCAGGTTAATCAAAATCCAAAAATGGATCATGTGGATTCGATGTTATTAAATATTTACTTCTACCTATCATGGCGAGTTGTTAAAATAAAAAAGCGCATAACAAGGGTTAATAGCAATGATGTGAAAACCGAACCAGACTGGCCGGGTCGATCCGGAATCCGGTGAACCGGTCATCTGACCGGTCTGGTTATCACATTGGATCGATCAAGTATCAGACTCGGTACGATCCGGTGCGACCAGGCCGGTTTTGGTGAAAAACCGGTGACCCGGCCTGGGTTTTTTTAAAAAAATATTTTCAAAAAAAAAAAGTTTTCCAAAAAAAAATCATAATTGACATATTTAAGTGATCTGTTACTTGTTAACTTGCATAAGTTATATACCTACAATATTAATATTATCTTAGTTATACACTATGTAGAAAATTTTGATTTGATAATTAGATATGTCGTTTACAGAACCTGAAACACCAACATAACAAGCATTATGTGTTTGTTTGATCCTTGATTAAAAAATAATGTATAATTTATTATTTTTATATTAAAATATTTAGAATTTATATTATTTTTTTAACTATATAAGTATATTTATAATTTATTTAAGATAAATTATAAATTTATATATAATAACCGGATCATGCGATTTAACCAGTGACCCACTGATTGAACCAGTAACCCAGTACCTCGACGGGACCGATTTTAATAACACCATGCAATTGCATTAAAATGTAAAGAAAAAGAAAAAAAAACTCCAAAGGTTGACACAATTGGTAACTGGGCTATGTGATTAAAAAGGTCGTTGGTTCCATTTTTTAGCAAAATATTTTGAAGTCAGCGGTAAAAATCTTCATGCTATGTCCTATGAGGGGGATTAGTCTTAGAAACGAGTAAGGACATTCTTGGAAAATAAAAAAATAAAAAAGACAAAAATAACATAATCATTTTATACCGATATAAATTACACTTTTAATTTTAATTAATAATTTATTTATATCAACAATCTCATTTATGAAATATATGAATAATTATATGCAAACAGATCAGTGATTAATAATTAAATATTATACATGTTATTCTTACACCCAATATAAATTAATCATGTCCAAAACAAAATCCAAATTAGTACGGAAAAGAGAACATAAAAGAAGTTATTTTTTTTCTTGAATTTCCCTTTTGGTTTGTGCTTGCCATTGTCTAAATTAAGGGTCGCTCGACCAAACTCTAAACTCTTCAATCATGTATATCCGTATATGCACTCTTTAGACACGTGCTCTCTCTCTCTCTCTCTCTCGCCTCTTGAGGTATACAAGTAAATTAAACCAAAAACACTAATGAGCTGGAGAGAGATTCCGTGTGTGGAAATCGAGCTGTAATTGAAAACATCCCTTCTTTCCTCTTTCTTTCTGCTTCGGATCATTCCACTCTTAACTCAAAGAGCCTATAAATACCTCAAAGCTCCGATTTTTTTTGTCACACAACTTGTTCTTTCATTATTAACCCATAATTTGCATAAGCCTATTCACACTAAATGTTAGACATGGAGCTCAGCACTATGTTTTACTTGTTTGCTTCTTTTCTCTTCATTGTTCTCTTCAACTCACTCATCAAATCCTTCTTCTTCCCCTCCAAAGGTAGAGAATTACCACTCCCACCTGGTTCCATGGGTTGGCCTTACATAGGAGAAACCTTCCAAATGTATTCTCAAGACCCAAATGTTTTCTTTGCTACAAAAATCAAGAGGTTCAAATCATGAACCCTTTCAAACTAATGGGTCACTTGCATTAACATAATAAGCACTTCTTGAACTTTGGTTAATTGTTCATTCGTTTTTTTTATATTTAGGTATGGCTCTATGTTCAAGTCACATATTCTTGGTTGTCCTTGTGTGATGATTTCTAACCCAGAAGCAGTGAAATTTGTGTTGAACAAAGCTCAACTCTTCAAACCAACATTTCCTGCTAGCAAAGAAAGGATGTTGGGGAAGCAAGCAATTTTCTTTCACGAAGGAGAGTACCATGCTAACCTTAGGAGGCTTGTTCTTCGTACTTTCATGCCTGAAGCCATCAAAAACGTTGTTTCTGACATTGAATCCATTTCCCAAACTTGCCTCAAATCATGGGAAGGAAAGTTGATCACCACTTTCCTTGAAATGAAAACTGTAAGCCCTCAAAACAGTACACAGAACAGAACAAAACAGAGTAAAATCCTCTGTTTCTCTGTTTACAATTTCTTGTTGATTTTCTATTGTGTGTTTAGTAAATAAATGATGGGTTTTTCTTCTTTTGTTGTGGTGATTTTGCAGTTCACGTTCCATGTTGCTCTGCTTTCAATTTTTGGGAAAGATGAAATTCTTTACAGAGAGGATCTGAAACGATGCTATTACACACTTGAGAAAGGGTACAACTCAATGCCCATAAACCTTCCAGGGACACTGTTCCACAAGGCTATGAAGGCAAGGAAAGAGCTTTCTCAGATCTTGGAACAAATCATCTCAACAAGGAGGAAGATGAAGCAAGATTACAATGACTTGTTGGGTTCATTCATGGGTGAGAAAACAGGCCTCACAGATGAACAGATAGCAGATAACATCATTGGTGTCATTTTTGCTGCTCGTGACACCACTGCAACTGTGCTTACGTGGATTATCAAATACCTTGATGAAAACCCCAGCGTTCTAGAAGCTGTGACAGTAAGTATCTGGGTCCTACCTTTTATAATATGTAATCACTGATTCATCAAGTAAAGTTTTAAGTTAATGCCAAAAAAAAATTGGAATTTTTTTTTTGGGTTAGTATAATTTAAAGAGGGCGAATCCAGGCAAAATTTGTGATTGAAAGATCTCAAATTTAAATTCAGGAAATAGTTTTTTTTTTTAAATATGTAAATATAAGATTGCGTATAAAAACTATAAAAGGATTTAAATTAGTTTAGATATTTATTTATTTATTTTTTTGTGTTCCTTAATCTTAGACTCCTTTGATTGTGACTTTGCAGGAAGAGCAAGAGTCCATATTGAAGGGCAAGGAAGAAAGTGTAGAAGAAATGGGTCTGAATTGGGCAGACACAAAAAAGATGCCAATAACTTCAAGGGTCATACAGGAGACTCTAAGAGTTGCTTCAATTTTGTCTTTTACTTTCAGAGAGGCAGTGGACGACGTTGAATATCAAGGTCAATAACCAAATCTGATATGATACCTTTTTCTTTTACCCTAGAATTCCTCTCTTTTTCTTATTTGGGCTCACAGATTTTGGGTTGGGGACTACTTTTCTTCAGGGTATCTCATACCAAAAGGGTGGAAAGTGTTACCACTTTTTAGAAACATACACCACAGTCCAGATAACTTCAAAGAGCCAGAGAAATTTGACCCTTCAAGATTTGAGGTAATTGTTATGCAGAACTTATGCATATTCTACCTTTTTCTTTAGTTGTTATTCATATGTAATTCTAAGTTCAGACTTTGTTAATTATTTTGCCAGGTTGCTCCAAAAGCCAATACATTTATGCCATTTGGCAATGGGACCCATGCATGTCCTGGGAATGAATTAGCCAAGTTGGAGATTTTGGTGTTTCTACATCATTTGACCACAAAGTACAGGTTTGTAAACTTGTGTATTACCAATGACAGTCACATTGCAACCTTAGTCATTCATATGCATTGAGTGGGGAGACATGTTCCAAAGATAAAATGTTTAGAATGATTCTAATTGTACTTGCTATTATTTTTGTGCAGGTGGTCTGTGGTAGGTGCAAAAAATGGGATTCAGTATGGACCTTTTGCACTTCCCCAAAATGGCTTGCCCATTACATTATATC